CATGCAGCAAGATCTCTGGATCCCCCTCTTTAGGGCAGGAGGATCTGGGGAGGCCCTCCCCTCCCCACTCAGGGACAGGGCGCATCAAGGACTCTTGGGGCAACTCGCACCTGTAATGTGTATAGATGCTGCTGGTGAAGGGCAGTTTTGGTGTTGACCACTGGATCACGGCCACCAGCGGGACCTCCAAGCCCTGGGTGGGGGGACAATGGGTCAGAGATGTCCCTGTCACCACTGCTCCCAGCAAGGATGGTCCCCAACATGCCTGTGTCCCCCCTGGCTCCCCACCAAGGACAAACAAGCCAGGGTGCAACAAGGACAGTCCCCCACAGTGAGGATGGTGGCTCCGCATCCAAGCCAGGGTGGTCCCTGCTGCTCCCAGAGGAGGACAAGGACAGCACCTCCCGCCACCCACCGGGACGGCGGCCCCTGATCCTGGCCCAGACAACATCTCCCAGCTAGGACAGCCCCTGCTCAGTATGTCCCCCAGCATCCCCTCATGCCTGGCCTCGGGGCAGTCACCCCTCGTGTCCCCCAGCCTGGAGGGTCCCCCGGTGTCGCCTCACCTCCTTGGCATCCTCAGGGGGCCTCTCGGGCGCCTGGAGCTGGAAGAGGAAGTTGTGCTCCTCGAGGGCGCTGAGGGTGCAGGGACAGGCTGAGCCGGCACTGGCCACGCGGCAGAAGGCACCCACGGGCACCTCGCCTGAGTGGTGGCTGCGGGACGGGGCACAGGAACAGCTCGGTGACATGCTGTCCTGCTGCCAGTCCGGGGCTGCAGCGCGCCCCAGGGCTTGCCCAGGGTGAGGCCAGCGACACGGCACAGCCCTGTCCTGAGGAAAACGGGGTCTCGGAGGTGCCACGGCTGTGCCCCCTCTCCGCCCCGTCCCTCAGCTGTCCCAGCGCTCACCAGACGTCGTCGACCAGCAGCACGGAGCCGTCGGGCATGACAGGCAAGTAACTGGCATTGAAGTTGGGCAGGATCTGCACATCCCACAGCGAGATCTCTTCCTGGGACCAGCCATTGAGCACTGGGGAACACAGACATCAGGGGACAGTGCAGGAGACGCTGTCGTGGCCCCAACCAGCCCGTGTCACGTTGTCCCCTGCCCCACATCCTGCACTCTGTCGCAGCTGCCCCATGGACACCAGCCCCTGTCCCAGCCACCCTGCGACCCCTGTCCCGCCACCGCCCTGTCCCTCTCACCTTTGAGCACGGTGAGGTACTTCCCGGACACGGTGAGCTGGCGGCATCGCACCACGGGCGGGGGCAGCACCGTCAGCAGGGTGCTCACTGCGGGGACACAGGCAGTCAGGGTACACGGGATGTGGGGACGCGGAGAGGGACAGGGGACGCAGGGACTCTCCTACCCTGCGCTTTGAAGGTGCCCTGCTCCTGGCGGAAGACGTGCGCAGGCGCCCGTGTCTGCAGCAGGCTCAGGTACCCGCCGCCCTCCCGTAGCTCGGGTGGCTCCGTGTCCCTTTTCCACACTGTCACCACGATCTGGGGACAGTGGGGACATGGGTCACGGCCAGCCCAGGTCCAGCCCCAAGCTCCCTCTCTGCGCCCATGGCTCCTCCTGTCCCCCAGGCACCCTAAGTGGCTTTTGTGGACCCGGAGAGTGGGGGAAGCAGGGCTGGATCCTGCTCTCCATCCCATGTTACTATGCTGACCCCACGGTCCCATTGCGACCAATGCCCCCTTCTGCCCCCAAATTCTACCTTGCTCTTGATGGACCCAGAAAGGAAGGCAAGGGCTAGAGGCCTGCACCAGCTCTGTGGTCCCACACTGTCCCCAAGATGCCTGCACATGGTCCCCAAGGTGCCCTCCTGCCCTTGAGGTCTCCATGCTGTCCCCAAAATCCCCACGCTGTCTCTGAGGTCCCCTCCCATCCTTGAGTTACCTGTGCTACCCCAGAGGTCCCCTCCCCTGGCCTTACCTTGGCCTTGATGGTGCCAGGCGGCAGCTTGTCGAGGCAGATGGTCAGGGGGAAGATGACCTCATCCGTGGACACGATGGGGTCCTCAACCGGTATCTGGGGACACAGCAGGGCTCAGTGCCATGGTGGCCCTCGGCCCCATCCCCCTCCATGTCCCCCTTTGTCCCCACATCCCTCTTGCTCCCAGGCCTCTCTCTTGCTCCCACATCCCCTTGTACCCTACGTCCCCCCCAAATCCTCCCTTGTCCCCGTGTCCCTCCCTGACTCCTCCTTGTCCCCTTACTCCCCCCCCACCAGTCCCTGTCACCCACCCCGGCAGCAGGGCGCCCTGGGGGGCCCTGGCTGTGCGTCAGCACGGCCCGGCAGTCCCGGAAAAGGGC